GCCAGAAAATAACTATCAGCAACATCATACCTAACATGGAAAGTACACGCCCTTTTGCCTCCTATGACTCCGGATCGTCGACTGACCCCTAAAACTTAGCCTTCTCGGCCAAATTGTTTATTCCTATGCACAAGGTTAGGGTTCCCCTTTTTCCTCGATGGTTTGTTATAGAAAGGAAGCATATTAATTTTGGTATAGGTGCTTGAATTTTGCGCGTGTTTAATTATGTACCAACATTGAAAAGGTCAAAAGAAGTTAAATATTATATGTGTGGCTTAAAATTTATGTTTCGCATCAATTTTCGTAAGTCGGTATTGGTAAATGGTTGGAAATATATTTCTTGTTCTACCAAAGTTTGATGTCTGATCAGATTTTAAATTTCGTTCGAACTTACCTTGAATTATGTGCAACCGAAATTATCAAACCAAATAACAATGTGGCCCACCAAAATTTTAAAGTTCCGTAAAATATTGAGTCCCAGCTGTACATGCATAGTTCATATAAGTGATTCTTGGCTATTCATAATGGCTACTATAGTGGCATGTGCGTGCAAGCCGCGACATTGTTTAAGTCTCTGCTGGATTTCATATCACCGGCCGAAATAAATGGTCACATGCAAACACCAAACCAGTTGGTCATAATGGCTACCAGTAACTACTTGCCAGACTACCGGCACCGCTGTCAGGCCAATTTGGCAAAGAGTAGGCTGAATTCATTGACTATGAGATACGAGATAATTCTTTATTTGACCTTTTCTTAAAATTTGTTTTCCTATTTGGCTCGAAATAAAATGTTCTCCCCTATTTGACACCTAAAGTAGATTTTGTTTCTTACTATATGACACTTCCGTCCATTTTAGTCATTAACGGGGTTAAGTGTGAGATGAAAAGACCATTTTGCCCCTAGCGCATTGTGTAACTATCGTGGATGTAGTAAAAAAACAATCAGTTCACCCATGTTTTGAGGATCAACAAATGCTGCCCATGTATATGTATGCTCCAATATTTTGTTCTTCAGATAAACTGATTTGTACGTGTGCAAGTCCGTATAAAACATCCATAGTACTAGCGAGTTTTTTAGGGGTACATAGTACTAGCGAGTGCAACTGCAGAGTGGACGGCCCATGACGCTGAGGTGAGCTCGGCATTGGGCGTCCACGTAGACATGACGCCACAGGCGCGATTGCCCATAGTTGTGCCATGAGTTGCGGACGGCGCCGGCCATGAAGGACGCGGAGCGGTGGAGCGGCCGTGGCGTCAACATCTGCGGCCGTGACGCCTTTGAGGCTGGACGCGATCGGCAATCTGGCGGGCAGCGCATGTGGCGGGTAGAGGTTGACACAGGTCTCGACTCGTGTTTGATTTTTGTAAATTTAGTTATGAATTTAGGAGCTTAAATTTTCAGACTTACAATTTAGCGAAGCATGCACTTTTTTTAAGGGTGGTCGTCATGTTTGGTTAGGTCATTCTGAAGATATTCAATCCGTCATATAAACACATTGTGATGATTTAATAAAAGCTTTGTGAGATTGTTTAAAAAAAAAAGTCTCGGCTCGTGTACCTTCTGATGAGATGTAGCTCCAAGTACGGCCGAGTACTTTCGGGCGACATGCACGTACAAGCTAGCCGCATCTGATTACTTTCTGGCCGCTGATGGGGAGACTCACGTACAAGTAGCACGTACGCAGCTGGATCGATTTGCAGTAGATGCACTTGCACGTACTAAGGGCATCTCCAGCCGCGCCCTCAACAGGCCCTCCCTAAGCGATTTTGCCGCGCCGGCGCCAAAAAAAGGCCCCAGTCGTGCTCCCAGAAGCCCGTTTTTCGCCGGCTCGGGCCAAAACTGGTGCCGGCGGACCCAGGCCGAACCCGGCGCCCTGGGGGGCGCTTGGGGAGCCGGCAGAAGCGAAAAAGGTGCGTGGGCCCGCCCTGGAAGCGACCCGATGGCCTTTTTCGCTGTTTCTTGACGCTTTTCCCTCGCATCTCTCCCGCTCGCTCGCCTCCCTCCCGCCATTCTCTCCCTTTCTCCCGCCAAACCCCCTCCCGCTCGCCGCGAAGAAGCACACCATGCCGCCGAGGAAGTACGTCATGCTGCATGCGGCGGCAACCGCGACTGGCGCCGTGGCCCAGCCGAAGCAGAGGAAGCCGAGGGCGCCGCCATCGAAGCCACCGGGCCTGTCGAACGCCGAGTGGAGGGTGGAAGTTCAGCGGCGTGAAGCAGTCACCGCCGACAGGCGGAACAGGGCAATAGCCAAGAAGGCCCGCGACAACGCGGTGCGCGCGGCGGCGTCTTCCTCATCGGTCGACCAGGCGGGGATGAATCCAGTTGGCGTGCAACAAATGGCATGGAATCGTCGAGGAGGTCGCGGCTCGCCCGGAGAGCGGCGCCAGCGTTGAGGATCAGGTACGCACGTCGTTCGCCCGCATATCTTCGTCCCCTACGCCCGCCGCCCGCCAACTGTTTGTCCCTCCGCGCAGCTGTTGCGTATGTTCGCCATGTATCGGGGCGACAACCAAGACGCCGACTTCAAGCACCTCCACGTCTACAAGCGCATTGACAAGTGCGAGAAGTGGGCGGAAGTCCGATGTGCCCTCGACAAGGCCAAGGAGACATACAAGCCAGACGCAACAACTCCGGACGCGTCAGAGGGACGGCCGGACGGCCACAAATTGGCAAAGAAGGGGAAAAGCGTCGACGCGGTAACCGCGCGAGTGCAGGAGTCCATCGAGCATTGCCTCGCCGACGCCCAGGCCCGGGCCGTCCTACGCGAAGAGAAGACCGAGGCGCGGTGGTCGTCGCTAATGAAGAACAACGCCATCAAGCTCGACCTGCTCCGGACGAACGTCGCCGCAAAGAAGAGGAACACCGACATGGCTTTTCTCGTGAGCGGGGCGGACATGCTCTAGAGCAACGACGAGAAGCCAAGGCGTGGTACCTGGTGCAGCGCAGCCTCATCCTGAACGAGCTGCCGACGGCAACGCCGACGACGCCGACGACCACACGGACGCCAAGCCCGAACGACGCCTCTACATCGCCGCCCAGCAGTACCGAAGCCGCGCCGACGCAGCCCTGCACCGAAGCAGCTCCGACAACGACGAGCCCGCGCACGCCGACTCCGCCAACGCCTGGAGCCGACCACGCCGAGTGAATCGGTGCTCACGGCGGCGCTCTGTTTTTTGTAAGCCAGACTACGTCCGTCCGATCGGCGTCTTTTGAGAGCGGGAGCGACCAAGTTTGAATTTCCCGCATCCTGGGGCCGGCGCGTGGGGGCGTGACTGGGAGCTAGGTCGCCTTCAGGGGCCGAACTAGCGCCGGCACGCTCCCAGGCCGCTCTATTTAAGCGCCCTGGGAGGCCGAACGGCTGGAGATGCCCTAAGTACTAGACGCCGGTTGGTAGATCGATGGCACAACTTGACACACACGCATGCGAGAACAGGGAACGCCGACTGATCGCCACGGGAGTGTGTCGGTCCCTTTAATCTCTTCATATCCATGAGCAGCATCCGTTCAACATCCCAAAATATGGATGAACTGATTGCTTTTTTACTTTATCCAGGATTGTAAAACAATGCATTAGGAGCAAAATGATCTTTTCGCCGCACACTTAAGAGCAACTCTAGCAGACCCCACAAAAACTCCCGTAAAACGCGTTTGCGGTTACACGAAGATCGTGTTTGCAGGTCAAAAACTAGCGCGGCCGAACAAAAACCATATCTAAAACTGCATAATTCGAAAAATAAGAGAAATTGCACCCCGTTGACACCAGTAGTTCATCACATACTACATAGATCGTGATCAACACACTACAAACATAGTTCATACTACATACTACGTTAATACTAGTACTAGAGGGGGGCGGATCTGACGGCGGCGAGGTCGCGGCAATGGACGACGCCGTGGAGGAGAAGGACGATCAATCCTCCTCGCCGGAGCTGCAGAGGTCGATGTATTTCGCCCTCTGCTCCTCGCGGATGTGGCGCCCTTCCTCGTACTTCTCCTAGGCAGCGAGGTTGGCGGCGACCGCCTGCCGCCACTCGAGGTCTTCAAGCTCCTCGGCATGACGCCGGCGCTCCGCCTCCTCGCGCACGCTCTGCTCGGCGTTGGCGGCCACAACGACGTCGACATCGGCGACGTAGTCTTCCGGCCCGACGACTTCTCCGGCTCCTCGGGCTCCTCCTTGACGGGGAAGAAGTCGAACTCGTCCGGCTCCTCCTCG